GATAACCATGAAAAAATTGCAGTTCGTGTAGTTGCTGAGCTGCATTATGAGACTAACCGCTGCAGATACTGACTATAAGCCATCAGCTAGCTTCTGTCAAATGACACTTAAATGTTTTCCCACATATGACTTAATCAGATAATGCAAACTGGTTATTCATTTTGAAGCAAGTGTCTCACTCTCGCGCCGGTGAATATGTCCTCGCCTTCATCATCATCATCATCATCCTCGTCGCTGTCCAGCACTCGAGTGTCCGATTCAGCCTCCTGATCTTCATTATCAGGGAAAGGAGGAGGAATCCGTCCGCAGCTGCCTGACATCGCTTCTTTCGAGCAAAGAAATTATATGTAACAAACAAACAAACCTAACGGATCAAGTCTTGAGGTTGGCGTAATTTCTAACTGACTGTACGCTACAGGTAAGCGTGGATTGAATTTCACTCCTTCTTCTTCTTCTTCTTTTTGTTCAATGGCCGTTCACTCCTTAGGAGTATTACCGCCACCTACTGTATATCTTGCGCACATGAGTGATGAATCTGTACTGAAGGGAAAAAAAAAATATATATATATTTGTGTAATGCCCCACCCACCCCAGAGGATCAGAGCCCAAGCTTCAGCTGGCGCTGCGTGTTCAGCTCCTCCAGCTTCCACACTGTGCTCCTCAACCTCCGAGATGGGCAGAAGCATCATGATCCTCATCCTCAAACACTAAATCCTGTGGTCTAATCCTGTGAGCTCTAAAAATTTTAAAACCACCTTAAACATCTGACTATCACTCAAACCCTTTCCCAGAAGGTCCACGACACTCACTGGTCTGTTCCTTATATTGCTAAAAAGACTGTTACGCTGATCTTCATATTTACTACATTTAAAGAGCACATGCTCTACTGTTTCAAAAACACCACATTCATCACACATACCATTTTCATGCTTCCCCATTAATGCAAGTGTTGAATTTAGTCCTGTGTGACCCATCCTTAATCTAGAAATCATTACTTCTTCCTTTCGGTGTCTTCCATAAAACTGTTCTTTTTTCCCTACTGATTTTACAATATTATAATACCACCTACCTGTGCTTAATTTCACTCCTAGGTAACCTCAGCCTATTTAAAATCATCCGCGGACGGCTCAGAAAGAGCGCTGATGCGACACTGCCACCTGATGGTCTGGAGTAAATACTACAGCTACTTCAGCAACTACACCCATAAGCTGATCTGATACGGATCAGTCAGTGAATACATTTTGTCAGTACAGCTACAGAAATACACATTTGCTCTCAATTCACTCATAGGTTATTGTCTAATTATGACGAATTTTGTGAACCGATTCAACCAGTTCAATCGCATCAGACTTCGTACTTTGCTTGAATTCAATCAATACAAAAGAAAAACACAACACCACAGCATATCTGCATGTATCCCGTTTAATAAAATTAATTTTAATAATTTCAATCTCATAATTCAAGATTTGTTTGAAAACAATTTAACTAGTGTACTAGTGACTCATGATCTTCAAAAATATACATTTACAAATATATATATATATATTCTTATACATTTCTATGAGTCAAAAAATTTTTTTGCATTTGTTCAGTTAGTGTTTCTGCTGATGTCAGAATTGGATAACTCTAAACTCAGTGAGCAGAGCAACGAGGAGGAAGACAATGTAGAAGATCAGTAGAAAAATGCCATAGACTCGGTTCAAGTGAAAACACTGAAGAGGAACCAGTATGAAGGAGAGGACGAGAGACAGACCCAGTGCTCCTGAGAGAACCCAGCACAGCATCCCCTCTGGTTCCAGCTGACCACACAACAAAACACACAGATCAGACTCCATCACTCATCTAAATTGGATAATTCAACAGACTAAAAGCTTGCAACATGTTCTCTGGTAAACACCAAAAGACATATAGATATATAGTATCCACTTGCATGTATATATGCTCTTTTCTAAGAAAGTTGAGACGTATATAATATACAGAGCGTGAGACATACCATCACAACGTTATTAGTCTGAAAGATTTGCAGCAGGCAGCCCAGACCCACACCAAACAGCATGTCTTAATGCAATGTTAAAGGCATATAAAGATCTCTATGTGGTTATGGTTTATATACTAGGATATTTACAGTACTGTAAATAAATAGTATGATTAAATCTGTTGATATATTTATTAAAGCACATACACAAAAAGGAAAACTTTTAAAGGACCTTATATTAAAAGATACTAAAGATAATGCCTCCGAAACAGGCAGAAATGGCCATCCGTGGGTATCCCTGACGGGCTATAGCAATGTCTGCAAAGCAATCTGTGAAAACACACAAATATAACACATGGTCTAACAGAGGTAAAAACATAATGGTGTATAATATCCCACTGGTGTATGATTCTTTAAAATATTAAAAGCCATCTGGTAATAAATACCATTGGTAAAAAAAAAAATTTTTTTTTAAATAATAAAATACCACATCTCATGCATTACATTAGTACTTAACAGTGCCAACAAAAAATAAAACCATACCATCTAGTAGTTGCAAAATAGTTTTCCTTTCATTTCCAAGTCCTAGAATATTGGCTATGAGCAAAAATAATAAAATAAAGGGAAGATAATGTGCTGCTTGTGCTTTTTAATGTTGTGAGTGAGTGTGTACCTCCAATGCTGTTGCCCCAGGCTAACAAGGTGAGGCCCAGTACAGTGTTGCTCAGACTGAGAACAACCCCCAGCAGGTGCAGCACACTAACAATCTCAGACGCCACAGTGCTGATCCACAACGTGCTGACCACAAAACCTAGCAGAGAATAGAGCTACATGCACACACGCACAGCAATAGAACAAATAAAAAAATTGAAAACAAAATCAATACCTTTATTCAGCAAGGATGCTTTAGATTGATTAAAAGAGATAGTAAAGACATTTTTAAAGTCTATACAATGATTTCTATTTCAAATAACTTCTGTTCCTTTGAGTAATTTGAAAATTGAATTTTTAAATATATTAAAACAGAAAAACAGCTATTTAAGATTATAATAATATATTTCACAATATTAATGTTTTTACTGTATTTGTGATCAAATAAATGCATAAGAGACTTCTTTAAAACACTGAAGATTCATACAAAGTGATATCTAGGAGGACGCTCATTTGTGGTAGTGAAGAAGACTATGCCCGAGAGGAAGACTCCAATGCAGAGTATAAGCACCCACACTGGAACTTCTCCTTCAATGAGCAGTAAGCCATCTTGAATGAAAGAAAAAGATTGTCTTTTTCAGTCACATGTACTTTTACAGAACATGAAGTGATACCACAATATCTGCATTAACAGCATTTATCTTTTCACATACAAGAGGAATTTCAGTTCATCTGACAGACTGCAGCTGGTGCATTAAAGCAACGAAACAATGACAGGGATGACATAACTACTTTTTATGTGCACATAAGAGATTGCTGTTAAACAGGTTTAGTTTCATGGTTCAAATAAAAATGCCAACCGACTTACACTTTCCCGACTGGAAGGAAAGTACACACACCAGAGGCCCAGTGATTATGTGCAGACAGTTCAGAGGGCGTTTCCAGTTGTGATCATCCTTATTTGCGTCCACCACAGGAACTGTCAACAATAACAGCACTTCTACAGGCACCTTACACAGTCAGACAGACAGGCAAAAAAAGATCTTCACCTTAAAATTACATAGACATGTATACAAAGTTTAACAAATCCACCACTTGGACAATCAGACAAGTTTATTTTAAACAATAAGTTAATAGAAGAATGATTACTTATTTAGAGCCAGGAAGTGATCATGAAATTAAATACACTTTTTATTTTTTTTACCTTGATCACTTTGAGGACTTTGGCACTCCAGTGCTGTCTCCTCCAGGTCCGGCTGTCCACCGGGTTAATGGCATTCAGGAAGATCTGAGCAGTGGATTGAGTGTAAGGCAGCAAAGGCTCATACTCTCTGTCATCTGAAACACACATATATACACACACCAACACTTACAAACACATACATGCAAGAATTTCACAGACAAATGCAAACCAATAGTCTAAAAAATGGTTGATGAGTAGCATTTCAGAGCCAATGAAGCACACACAAACATAAAATGTAATGACTGAGCAGATAGAAACACTGTTACACCATACAACATTTCCTTAAAGATGCAAAATTCTCTCTCACTTTCACCGTTACCAATGCAGATAGCAACACACGCTTGCAAACTCCCATTATTATGAAAGTCTGTGGTGTTGAAAACAATCATGCATACATAACCCACCGAAACTCCAGCCACTTACTTAGCCAACATAGTTTTAAGTTGAGAGGAAGTGACCCACCGTGTGCTTGTATGCTGGCATTCTGAATTTCTCTATATGAATCAGATGGGAGAATCTCTCCTAAAAGTCAAGAACAGCACTCATTAATCTCTGCCCAGTGATCAGACTAACACTGCTGCAAGGCAAAGAGCATTATTTTTATTTCATAAACTTCAAAACACTATTTAAATTGACATAGCTTTGAGTTTGCATTGTTGTGAACACTATATCTGAATGTGTGAGAGTTTAGTGCAGTTAATTCATATATTACTAGGAATGGGAATGAGTACTCAAGTAAGCAAATCTCAGTCACCAAAAACAATAATAATGTGAGTTTACAACACATTTTAACATGTTTACCTTAAATAAAAGAAAAAAATTGTCACTCCTCATTCAGGAATTGTAATGTGACTGAAAGATGCTAAAAAAGAGTGTGGTGTGTGATTTGTGAGTTCAGTGCTGAGAAAGACTGCAGTCTTTACCCTGTTCTCTGCCTGAGGTCTGGGCCGATCCATTCAGTTGATGCTTCTGACGATTGTAAATATATGCACTAACAATCACAGTCAAAACATATGCAATATACAGCCCCAGATAACCTGTGGAGAACAAAAAAGAATGATAGGAAGAAACAGATGACTTGTCTAACAAGATGAAATAATAACTGTATCGATACATTATGCATGAAAGTGGAACATGCAGATTGAAAATGTGTAAATTTCCTAAATGAATGAAAAGATGGTATAAATATGATTAACGGTTATCAGACCCACGGCTTCTCCCATGGAAATATGGCCTTTATATAGGATAATGAAGGTCCAAAACACAGCTGCCATGTAGAAAATGACATCACGAAGGAATGGGCGGGACGCCACAGTGAAAGGTTTAACCAGAGCAATGCTTCCAGCTACCACTGTTGTAACAAAGATTCCCGCCCCTAGGAAAAAAATTCACATTAGGAAAAATTTTTTTTTCAAGTTTTTTTAATGACTGATGAATCTGTTCAGAAGACTTAAAGGTGAAGTGTGTAATTTCTGTGGCACCCAATGGAGCTGTATGAATACTGCTACTGTTCAGTCAAAACAAACAGTCTCAAGGTTATGGTCAAACCACTTGCATGATTCAAGCAACCTGCACAATTCAATTCGGTGCCATTTTTAGTTGAGAATTACACAGTTTACCTTAAATACTCCAACACGTCCTTGATGTTTATGTGTGTGAAGTAGGAAGTTTGGTGTATGTTTAACAGAGCTGATCTCTCACCAAACAGTGCTCCAATGGCAAGACCAGCAGTCTGAGGGTGAGAAAAAGCAGCCATGGCACTGAACACATCTGGAGCCCCATTTCCAAGTGCCAGGAATGTTACTCCCTGTTCCACTCAGTCACGGAAAACAATGATTAAAAAATTAGATCAACACAACCTCACAGCACAATTTGGACCTTGTCCAGCAACCAAAACACAAACTCATCACTGAGGATTCCGCTCAGTCACACATACAACACACCCCGCTCAGTCATGCGCACACTTTTATGATTCACAAACACACTTTAAAGACTCAAAATAAAGAATGCAAAAGAAGTGCTGCACGGGGTATTGGGTTTCTAGTCTCGGTGCTCTTTGGGTGCAAGGGATGATTCAGCTCGTAAGAATAATAGTAATCCAAGGCACTCGAATCTTATTCAAAAAATTTTAAAAAGCCTTTATTTCATCATGGCTGTAAGTTTTAAGAACAGGTGACAAGTGCACACCTACGCGTTGCGGCTATTTTGCCTTCGTCAGGGTGTGAGTTATGCCGAGTTCACACTGCACGATTTTCAAACTCGTCGGAT